GAACGCAGCGGTTGTAGAAGCCATAGGTCAGCGCATTGGCCTGCACGCCAGAGCGCTTCATCAGGTAGTGCAGGCGGACGGCCAGCACCGGCAGGTTGTGAATACCGCACAGCTGCATCATGATCCTGTAGCAGAACTCGTCGCAGGTGATCTTAAGGCGACTGGCTCGCACCAGGACATCGTAGGCGGCGCGCAGTATCTCCGGCTCCTTGCCGGCGTGCCGCGTATCCAAAACCATCGATGGCAGGATGAGAAAGTAGAGCGAGTAGCAGGTCGCCAACAGGTACTTGGACCACGCCTCCGGATGCTGCTGACAACGGCTAGCCATCTTCTGGGACAGCTTAATCTCGTGTTTGGTTCGCCGGGCAATGGGTGATCCTGGCGAGAGGGAAGCGTTCAGCTGCAGCTGCAGAAATTTCGATAAAGCCGTCTTCTTCGTGCTCTGCAGCAGTTCCGGCTGCAGCGTGAAGTTCTCATAGTTGTAGGCCATTCCACCTCCTCCTCCGCCGCCAGGTTGGGATCCCGCAGGAGTTACGCTGTCCGGCGGAAAAATGTACTTGGTACGCTCGCTGTTCTGTCCCGTGTCCCAGTCCACCAAATGCAGCTGGGCGGGCGTCTCGTCGTAGTTGCCCACCTTCTCCGCACACTCGTCAAAGAAGCTCAGGCCATGATCGCCGTCGGAGACAAAGGAGCGCTCCTCAATGAAGCGGATGAACATCTGGGTCTTCATCATCAGCTCAAAGAATTTTTGGTGCGACTGTTTTGGGGTAGATCACAGTAAGTTGTTGATTACACATTGCATCAAAAGACGTTTATTATAATTAAATGTGACTCATTCCCGACTTACTAAGCAAATAACGATAAACAGTTGTCTTACCTTATCGCGCGATCGCAAAAAGGCCTTCAGCTGAAAGAGGGCACTCGGATCAGTGGCTCCCACCGAGGGTGCCTTGGAAATGGGCACCAGAAAATCTCTGTAACCGCGCAGAATGCTGGCCATAAAAAGCAGAAAGGCCTCCTGGATGCGCTGCTCCAGCACCACCTCTCGTTTTCGCTTCCGAATGTCGCGATCCAAGCTGTTTGTGGAGTCATAGCTTATTGGTTTGGCGTTCTCCAGTTCGGTGAGCGTCTGGCGGAGCAGGCGGGCTGCCCGTTTCGGAAGCAGCTTGGGTGACAAGTGGCGCTGCGACTCGCATAACTGCAAATACAGAAATAAGTGAAATATTTACTCATTAGCAACCCTTTTGCAATACGAAAACTAGCCGCACACGTACGCTTATGTTGTTGGTGTCCAGATCGATGCAGGTGACATCCGTGGGCGGCTCGTACAAGTCAAAGAAGCGCGAGTCCACGCCAATGAGATAAGGCAATGGGGCATGGAGCACCTCCGCCAGGCCCAGCGGACAAAGTGGGATGTAAGGACACTGCCACTTGAACGGGAACAGCAGGGAGACAATGGCCTCGGCCACAGCAGTCAATGTGGCAGGTCTGCGGGAAATAAATCGATATGTAAAATGCGGTAAGAAACTTCGGTAATTGTGTTGCACGTACCTGAGTGAGTGGATGAGTATCTTCTGTTCGGTGAGGGCCAGCAGCAGCACATGCAGACAGTTGTCGGTGCCCAGGTTCTGGAGCAGCATGTGGAAGCCGGCGCCACTTCGCGGTAGCGGGGAATCCTCCGGCTGGGTGAGCAGGATGCGATCGTTGGACTCGCTGGACAGCTGCAGGTGAATGCTGGGCGCCGGAAACGGTACTTCGTCCAGCAGCTGGGTGATGTAGCGCTCCACAGGAATGGGTATATTAACATCGTACAGTACCATCCGCTGCAACGAAAAACCAAAATAAGGATTAGTTTAAATCAAAGTTAAAAAAAGTCTAGACTCACATGGAGGTACTTCAGCCATTTGTCGAAGGTGTCGCCGAAGGGATGGTGCGACAACAGACATATGGCTTTGATCATGTGCAGCGAGTGTTGGGCGCCGAAGTCCTCGTCCCAACCGAGCTGCTCCTTCTGCTCAGCCGACAACTGCGACTCACTGAAAGTATAGTAATTATTATTATTAGTATATATACGTTTTAAAATATTTATTTGCAACCCACTCGTAATCCTCGTAGAAAGTCAACGCCGATCCGTAAACCTTGTAGGTGCCATCGTTCACGGTGAGCACAAAGGTGCTGAACACCGGACTGATGGGTTTCCGCTTCTCGGTGCCGTTGACATGTGGCCAGGCCTCCAGGGAGGCGCCCATTGGCAGGCAGAAGAGCGGCACGCTCGGACACAGATTCAGCGGGAAGTCGGTGTGATCGACGGTGGGGTAGCGCAGCAGGATCTCCGGCTTGTAGCTGATGTGCTTGGGCCGGTACATGGACTTCTTGTAGCACAGGTAGACGTCGCTGCCTACGTAGCCCTTGTTCAGGGTCTTGTAGATCAGGCAGAAGGCGTGTGGAGCCCGCTCACCCTTGCTCTGGACGATGACGCACAGTTCGGTGACTACCAGCTCGTTGCAGGGCATGTCAGCGCGGGCGCGTCGGTACGTGAGGAACGTCTTCGCGGACGAGTTGTTCACATTGGCCACCCTGCCGCCGGGCGTCTCTGCTACGATTTCCGCATCCGACATGATCCGCTCGTGGCCATCGTACAGGACTCCTGCAAAATAGGGAAAGATTAATAAAAACGTCGAGTATGTTTACTTGAAAATAGCAGTAGGCTTTCCTGCAAAAAACCCCTGAATCATATATTGCTTCCTATTCTATACATTTTTTACTTCTGAATTCATTCCTATTCATTCTATAAAAATAAATTTTTTGACTGTGACCGATAATGATACTTTTGATATTTCCAACAGTTTGTCGGCTTTATCACGAGCCGTGTCGAGATTATAACATTTAAATTTACTTTCGGTATCAAGAAATCCAACCAAGTCTTGATTGCTGAAATCTAAAACAAAAAAAGTAGTTCTCCGAAAAAAAACCCAAACGGAAGTAAGACCTTAGATAAATAATTACACAGTAATAAAAGTTTCTGATGGAAATGCACCCACCTATGTCCACCAGAGGCGGGCGATCCTTGCCGCGCCGAAAGTAGATGTAGCAGTCGGTGGTGCGGACCGATCCGTGGTTGAGGTTCGCCTGCAGACCCGTGGGCGTGTGCGTGAGGATCTCGTATCCTTCGGGCACCTCCTCGCCCAGCAGCGGGTAATAGACGCCGATGTCCGTGATCGGTTCGATGGTGGTGGCCGCCCTTAATCTTCCCGAGTCATTGAAGATGTTCTCCTGCAGCAGCTGCGGATGCTCCGGCATTCCGGCCACCACAAAATAGTCGGCGATGCGCTTCTCCTCCATGGCGGCGCCGTTACCGCTGGAAGAGACACCAAAAGACCCCGTTTGAGTAGTTAATTTCTTGGCATGGTGGAACTAGCAGGCCAGATAAGATAAGGTCGGCAGGGGATACCAGTCCTACCCTACCAGTTGGGGTGGCTCCCAATTAATTAATATTTTGTTTGGTTATCATTAGTTAGGGGCAAAGTCGATGGGTCTTCTTCCGTGCGAAAGATTCAGATAAGCGACACAAGTAATCGTGTGGTTCCCTTGCTTATTGCAACGGACATGAGAAAAACATATATAAATCTTTATGAGAAACATAAAAGAACGAATGGTTCACGAGCTGAACTGATATCTTAATTCGACGAGTATTTCATCATTTCCGATCGTATTACCCACAAATAAGAACCGCAAGATATCATGGATATTTTCTGGGTTACCCACTGGAGTACTGGTTGGTGACCCCAAGCGCAGGCTTCACTGTAACTCTCCGCCCGGGCCACCCAATGCTTTTTGTTTACATATTCCGATAAAGTCGGCGTCCGATTGGGATTGCATGCATTAGCTGTCACTCTGATTGGACTTTGTATGCTGGGTACATTTTTATGCTTCGTGCGGCAGCAGCAACAAAAACAACAACAGCAACAAGAACAAATGGTTCTGGGGGAAACAAGTTCCGCTTGATGGTTCAACTTCCTCCACTTCCGTTTTACAGCACAATAACACCAACGCATTTTGTTTGTGTTGATAGCTGATGCGTTGTTTTTGTTTACAGGAGTCCAATTGGCAGGTGTGAGTGAAAGACGTAAGGCAAGGGCGCGGAGAAGGGGTGCTGGGTGGGGAACTTACTGCACTCCCGTTAGTTGTCCTCCAGGGGGGCGGGGACGAAGGGGCGTGGGCAACCTTCAGTTGCTTTTGCTGTTCGCCTTGGACTGCAATTGTCGCTTTTCCTTCGCTTTTCTTCTTCACACTACGTTAATTTCCACACACCAACACACACGGCACACATACGGCACACACACGCACACGCAGTTGGGCTACTTGAGAGTTTTCCTTTACATCATTTTCGCAGTTTTCCTCTTGGACTGCTTAACTGGACCACTAACTTTGACTAAGCCGCGCCAAGTGTGTTGAAATCCACGAATTTAGCCACTTTAAAAGCTACGCAAATACGTGTGGAGTGCAGTGGGCAGAAAAGTAAGGAATAATGTTCGTTTAACTGGCCTGCCAGCCGTGTGCGCGGCTCAGTGTGACTGGCGAAATGTGCCAATCGCTTGTGTGCGCTACTTGGCGAACTATATAATTATCATGCTATACGAACCACACGACTATTATGATCAGATTTACTATTATTAATAACTATTTGGCCTTTGTTTCTGGCCTTATTCAGCGTTGCCAGATGGTACTAGCTTTTGGTCTATCGATACCTGACTGACGATTACTTTGAAAAATTACTTTGACGATTACTTTGTTATCCCCTTACCCGCCAGCTTGAATTCATATTTTCAATGACTACTTTACTATTTCGTTTTTGATCAATTTGAATAGTATAACTACAGAGCCCACTCAAATGAACGCGTATTAATTTACGCGTAGAACAAATTTTGAAAGGTAAGCAGTTACATTTGCTTTCATTTTTGAAATATTTAATGCTTAAACTATCCATATCAAATCGATAACAATACCAGTGGATACGTGCTACTTTCGATAGGTCTACCGTGGCATAAAATATTTCTGGCAATCTCAATTGCGAGATTGAAACGCGTGAAACATGGAACAAAATGCAAAGCCTAAACGCTCCTTTAAGCGTCCATTTGCCTTTCCCAAAAACTGCGTTTACCGTCCGCTGCGCCAGATAAGCAACATGGAGCGTAGCCTCAAGCTGCCCGCCGAACGACCCACCTGTGAGTAACCAATGAATTAAGATTCCCAATGGTATCCATACATATGTGCACTTCACTTTCCAGACTTCACGCTCAATGCACCGCCCTCGTTGGTTCCGGCCAAGAAGTACTCCGATATCAGCGGCCTGCCCGCTCCCTATGCCGATCCGCATACAAAACTTAGGTTCGCCAACGCCGACGAGTACGCGTCCATGCAGCACATGCCCTCGGACATCATCAATGGCTACCTCACAGTGCGCGGCTATACGAGCGCCGTGGGATAGTTCGGTCGATCTATATACTCCAGGTACTCACTGTGTTCCGACCCTGGAGGCCTTGCGATCCGACTACCACTCATAATGGGCAATTACAGCGCTGCTGACCTTACTCTTACTGGCATTGCGTGCGAGGCTGTTGCTTTCAAGTGATTTGATTTGCTTCCTGGCTGGAAAACCGCGTTCAAGGGGAGTTACATCCACAATTACCATATATGCATATGCTACCTAAAAGGAGATAATCTTTGTCAATTAGTTATAGAGATTTGTCGCTAGTTTGACCGCAACAATAGATTAGGTAATTCCAAGGTGAGCTGAAAACCTTGGAGTTTTAAAATTGTCAAAATTAACAAAACAGGTGTAAAGCGCCAAGAAAAAAAAAACATCCTAATGGGAAAAACAAACATTTATACAGCCGATTCGTGCAACTTTGTTGTAGTTTCAATTAAAGACTAACAGATTAATAAAGTGTTAAGTTAACCAGCTATACCACTTTCAGCAACAACGCAAAGTAAAGAAACTGAATTTTAGATTAATGAGATATATTCATTCTCTAATCGTGAATTTTGGTAAAAGCTGATGATCATGGTAATGGAGTTTTTATTTAAGGATGATTTATAAATGTTTTATGAACTATATCTCTGTTGTAATATCATTCACATAGTCATTATTATTGTGTATTATTTAGCAGCTATCAGAAGTACGAAAAGTAAGTTTCTAAAACTTTTGTTATTACTGGGGTTTCTCTCGCTCGCTCATGTCTTCCCTTCGTCATCCCTCCCGTAAACGTAATTATAGCTCTTTCCTCCAATGGTTTCAAATTCAAAGAACCGGACTAGTGACTCCGTGATGCTTCACCCTTTTTCCTTTCCATTTCATTTTGTGGCAGTCGACTCCGGCTTATCCCTTACGGCTTTGGATGCTAGCCGGCTTGGTTGATGGGTCGGCTAATACTGTTCGGCTGTGTCAGCATCTGCAGGTCCGAGCGGAAGCTCCTTGGCAGCCCCGAGATGTCCAGCTGGTGCTTAAGCACCACCATGGTGGCCAGGGTTTTCAGAGTGGGCTCAAAGTCGAGCACATGCAGATCGCTGTAGTCGATGAGCGCCACACCGGGAGGCACAACTCCGCCAGCCGCCGTGGCTCCGCCCGCCTCTTGAGTGGGTGAAACAGCTGCTGGCGAGCTAGAGGAGCCGCTCCTCGGACTGGTACCACCGAACAGGAACATCCTAGTGCCCATCACAATGGCACACTGTCTCCGCCGCGCCGTCGGCGCCTTGCCGTTGGCCCGTATCAGGTTCCACAGCTTGGTGCGCGGATCGAAGGTGTACAGATCGTTGAAATGCTGATCCAGCAGGCCATTATAGCCCCCAAATACATATATCAGCTTGTTGTAGACGAACATGCTGTGGCTGCGCCGACCAACGGGCACCTTTCCGGCCGTGAACGGTCGATGCCACACCTTGGTCTTCATGTCCAGGTAGACGATCTCGTGGCAGTAGGTCTCCTCCTGGCTGTGGTACGGGCTGTGCTTGTCGCCCCGGCCGCCAAAGATGTACATGCGCTCCTGCTCGTAGGCCACCGCCGCATGAAAATCCCTGTAGCTGGGCGGCACGCCAAAGGTCTGCACATACCGCCACTCCATAGTGTCCAGATTGAGTGAGTGCACATCGCTGCTGAACTCGTTGATCTCATCGACGAAGCCACCAAAGATGTACATGCTGTTGCCAATGACACATGCCGAGTGGCCATCCCGTGCTCCGGGCAGACATCCAGTGACCTGGGGCCTCGACCATTGCGCGGTCTTCGGATCGAAGCAGTAAAGGGCATTGCACAAGTTCTCGTCGTTGCGACCGCCCCAGATGTAAATGTGCTCCTTGTAGGCCACCACCGTGTGTCCGTAGCGCTGGAAGGGCACCAGCGGATACTTGAGCGGCACACCAGCTGCGTCCAGCTGCTGGGGCACCAGTGTCCAGCGCATTGTGTGCGCATTCAGAGCGTGGACGTCGATGGGCTCATTGTAGCGATAATCGTATCCGGTGCAGTAGCCGCCAAAGCTGTAGATGAAGTCGCCCACACCCACTGCCGCGTGATTGACCCTCTGTGGGCCACCGTCCAGGTGCACCGTCCACAGCATGTCTTCGCCAACTGGATGAGCTGTCCGCTGTGGGCAGAAGACCACCAATGTGCTGTGTGAGGAGCCGGAGATCTTAGCTTTGGGTCCGAGCAGCCGAAGCAGCCAAAACACACAAAGGAAAGCAAGTGCGCCGCAGTTGTCGCTCCTCTTGGGCGCGGGGGAAGGGAGGTGCGGCCGCAGGTGCGAGCGATTGAAGGCCACACAGGTGTAAGTGCTGATACCAAATGTAAGCTGAGCTTCGCTCTGCCAGTCTTGCCAGATGGTGAAATGAATCGAAACGGGTAAGATTTTGAGGCACACAACACCGAGAGTTGCGTGCGTGAGCGCCGGGGTGTAATAGCAGGGCTCCACTGTGTCACTGTGACATGATGTTAGCGATATCGATAGTATCGATTAAAATTTAAATAGCCACTGCATTTGCATTAAATAATAAGCTACTTTTTTGGAAACTACTTTTTTTTGCATTGAATTTACATCAGATTGATACCTTTTTTTTTAAGATGAAGTTTCAAGCAATGAATTAAGTGAAAAATGGCAAGAATATTTACCATAAATTCAAGCTTCAAACACCTTTACACTCAATTACAAATAATTTTACCCATAATTTTGTTTAGTTTTTGCAAGCTTAGTTGCGATATTTATTTATTGCATATATGTATTGCATATATGTTATTTATTGTATATATGTGTTTATATACGTCAAGTGTTTGTGTGTAAATTAGATTGATTGTAGTACAAAAGTTATAACAAAATAAATAACAAGAAATCATTTAATACAATATTACGCGAACATACCTTATATATGATGCAATCTATGCACATTTTGGTTTACGAATAGTGGTTTCCATGTCCGGCCACCAGAAATTGGGATTGGTACGAAAATTGGAGGCAAAAATCAAATGCTAGGATTGCAGGGAGGGGAATGGAGGAAATAGGGGATTCGAAACCCCACCTCCTATACATTCGTGGGCGCGTCCATGCCGCAGATAACCGACTTGACCACCGACGCCGCCGAAATGGCTGCAAAATTCTGCCACTTCCTGGTGGACGTGCCGTCCTTGTAGTCAGCGATGCCCTTCACCAATATAAAGCTCTCCCTGCAGTTGCCAATTATACTGTCCAGCACACTGCTCATCTCCACATCGGTGGCCAGTAGACCGTACTTCCTGGCGAACTGGGTGCGCAGTTCATCGCTCCTCACCAGATCCCTGCCGGATCCAATGGGTCCCAGGTGAAGTCGTAGCCGGTTGACACCGTCCACTTCGTCGGCGGCAATGGGATGGGCCACCTCGATCACCTCGTTGTTTCCAATATTCATGAACAGCTTGTCCGTACGCGCGTCCGGCCGGTTAAAGTCGGCATCCGTCTTCTGGGCCAGCGCCTGCTGGGCCTGATTCAGGTAGTCCTCCCACGGCCGCTTCACCTGCATGTTGGCCTGCAGGCTCTCGGCGATCTGCTGCAGCGAGTCGTTCACCGGGAAGTAGGTCTTCACGTCCTCGCCGCTCTTGTACAAGTACACATACGGTTTCTCCTTGCTGCGAAAAGCTTAGTTGATTAGGATTGAGAGGGAGATTTTGTTTTCGAAAAATTTACCTATTGCTGATCAGTGCCCGCTGTTTGTCCACATACGAGATGACCACATCGCCCAGTCGGACGTGCTTCTTGTAGTCCGTGTAGTGGGGCACGCCACCGGCCACGCCAACGATGAAGACATAGTCGACCTTTTGGAATGTGCCCAGCAAACGGGTGGTGGTATTGCCCGTCGCCGTCATCGCCTCCCGATTGCTGCCCACCGACGGGAGCTTGGTGCTCACGATCCTGTGCGCACCGATATTGCCCAGGGTATACACATTCGATTCGCCTGTAGAGTAGAAAAGAAGTTATGATAAGTTCGTTGCCATACAGGAAACGGTTTACGTTTAGGACATTAATATAATATATACCAGATTACACAAAATGGTCTGAAAAGAACATGAGATGGGGATCAAATCATACAAAATACAAATATTATTTTTAAAAATAAACCGTCATTCTAGTGTGGAAGACCTTTATAAATTCAATACATCCATTGCACCAATATACAAAACATTAACATATACATGTTGATGTAAATCATTTTATGAACCGAGTGCGTGACGGATATAATCAATGCGTCTTATGGCGTAGTTACATGTGTGTACAATAGGTCATGTATCCTAGGGCAATCCTTTACCATAACAACAAACAAATGAAACAAAACACAACACCGGCGATACAGCACAGACACAGAAAGGACACGAAAGTTACAACAAATCAAATTATTCTAGGCCAAGTTCATAACTTTCTATCCAAGTTTATGGCAAGTCATTCGCGTACAGTGAGCGCTCGATAGATGCGAACGCTCCCAGTTCCCCCACCCATCGATTGCTTACTGTGCACATTACTATTGCTATTTTTTGATTCAAAGTTTTTTTGGGGTATTAAAGATTTAAAACTCATGAACTTGACCTTGAACTATGGGTGCATCTGAATTTAGGAGTGGGTTTTGGACATTTAGCTTACCGAATCTTCGTTTCTTTTTGGATTTTCTGAGTGAGTTCGTTAGATTGGGATCGGAATCTGTTACATGGTTTTGGTATTTTTGGATTCGTGGGAAGGTGAAAGGTTTTTTTTATTAATATCATTGCAGGCAAGCAAACAATCAAGAAAATTGTATGCAAATTCGTTCGTTTATGGCGAAATTTTCGTGGTGATGAGGATTTGTATTTTTTTTGTCCACCATTGTCGAGGATTTAGGGTACAGAAGGGGAAAGAGAAAAACAGAGAAAAGACGACGGTTAGGCAAGAGTTCGATTAGTAAGAGTTGAGAGGAAGTATCGAGTCGACAATCGATATTGGCCATCGGTAATCGTGCGATTGTGCGATCCGTTATCGAACTGAACCTACCGACTGTGGTGTATCGGACGAATGTCTCCTTGTTCTCGAGCATCGCGTCCACAGCGAGCTTCTCGCAATACTGGGCCGTGATGATGGCGATGGTGGGCTGTTTGTTGGAGGCGATCGTGGGCATCTGCTTGACCACCTTAATCTCCTTGTCCTCGTGGTGGATGCGGGTGTACGCGTTGTACTCCATCGACTTGATCAAACCGCGCTCCTGCAGCGACTTGATCACCAGCAGCACATCCTGCTCGCTCCAGCCGTAGTCCCTGCATAAAAGAAAAGATACAATTAGAGTCTAGTGTCTAGATTTCAACCGGATCTCGATGTACTCACTTGGCCAGATCCTCGGGGGACACGGGATTGGGATATGCCTGCTCGATGAGCTCCAGCACCTTCTCCTGGGTTAACGGCGGAGATTCGAACTGGGATTCCTCGAG